AATTGAATTCCATTCGGGTATATATGTTGCAGGGCCTGTGGCTTACTGGGACCCTTCCATGGAACAGAGCTGTCGTTAACATTATGAGGTACACCTGTGCTGTGAAAGGCCTATTAATGACTAATGTAATTTATCTTTAATGGATGAATGAATCAATTGATTAAGGTACATTTCAAGAGAAAAACGTAATGGGTAACAAAAATATTTACATGAGAAGGAAACAATCCACAGCCTACCAAACAAAATCAATCCTTTGAACAAAATCCTCAGTATGCAGGGAACTGGACATTCATGCAGACAACAAAACCAATTTCCAAGCAGTATATTAGATACAGAGATGAGGAGGAACATGCCCGACAGAGAGACTGACTCATCTACAATCAAATTGCAAAATTGGTATGCAGTAAAGCGGATTTATCTCATAGGCTGCAGCATCTGTTGCAGTACAACTGCTGCCAGTTGAGCATGTTTATGATTTACGAGGAGCAGGGCTCCATGTCACTGTACAGGGATGGTTGTTTGATAACTGAGACAGTATGCACACATCATTACAGTGATGTTACATTTAGTTTTTATTAGCAGCCTAGTTTGAGTATTGATTTGTCATATCATTGTCATGTCTGAGCTGCCTGTTAATGCATCATAGTCACATGATAATAACACTGGCAGTTTTAAGAGAGGAAGTAATTCCCTAAATGTATTTAATCATTTCATCATTGCATGAGTAGTCTCATTGTGAAATTCACAAATTGTTGATATAGGCCAAATGACCAAACTCGAGTCTGCAATTGAAAGCTAACAGATGTAAAAGAGATTTAGTTAAATTTAAAATTGGATGGAGATTTTCAATGTGTTGCATCACAAATTTATGGGAATATTATATCAAGCCATTTTTGTATATATCTCATGCTTTGTGCAGCATGCAGAGAAATTGGTGTATGACACATTATAACACAGTGCTGCACAGCATCCACATGTCTGGATGGTGACACAGTTTTGGGCTGAGTTCTGTTTAACAGGATAATTTTATCCACATACAGTAGCTGAGTGCTGTACTGTTTTCACATGACACATACATCCAAACAACCTGAGAGAAACCAGCCTCTTCTGTACTGTTGTTTTCCCACTTCAGAAGAGCTACTTTGTTGATGTACAAGGTGTGAGTCACAAAGCCTGAGCATCTGATTATTTCTACATACCAAAAGAGAAGTATATTATTATCTGCACAGCTGTATGGAATAAAACATCTTGTTCTTTGGATTTACAGAAACATTTTTATATGCGTGCACACACACACACACACACACACACACACACACACTAAGAGGAGATGTGGGCTAAAAGTAGACAGATTTTTATCTAGGCAAATACTGATTGGAGAATTAGATTCCTTTAATCCTGTGAAATTAATTGTTTCTGGCTAATAGTGCAATAATGTGCCTAATCTAAATGTATTCAATTATGTCGCCACAGGGAGTCCCTTTGCCTCTTCTCTAACATAACTGTTTTATGCAGTGCTCCAAACTCAATTCCAAAGTACAACAGCAGAACATATGGTGACAATAATTTCTCATGTGGTGTGTTTTTAGTTGCAGTGTTCAAAATAAAGTTAACTCAAACAGGCAGATGCCACCGTGGCAACATAATTTCCCACATGCCAAGACAGCAAACTGGAATACTAATCTGCAGAAAACAGTATGAGTTAGGAGACCAAATGCTTCTTCAGTTGCATACAGTGTAGCTGAGTGTATCTTCAAACATTTCAGTTAGCATGCTGCAATGATCTCTGAAGTACAGTTGACAGAAGGAGAAGGACATTTATCAAATTGGGCCTCCAGTCACAGTATTTAAGTAAGGAAGAGCCCTGACTGCATACATACAGAGATCCCTCTCCACTGCAGATAAACATCTCATCCATAGGATTAAGAAATGTTGGACTGATTAGCATAGCGTTAAATCACATGAGTAGACTTTTGCCATTGGATAGGCAAAATAGGCAAATATCCTGGGTGTAGTGAAACACTCCAACAGTAGAGCCTGTTTCAATGCTCAGTTTGTCAAAAATCACTGATTTATTTCACCAACTACACATGTGGACCTCATGTTTTTATTCCTGGTTTGGTCCACAGACCATATAAAGTGGATGCGGTCTTGGTGTAACTGTTCAAATGGGTTTCCTTCTGGCGTGACACTAGATCGATTATCCTGTGTAGGCACTGATCCAGCTTTTACACATGGCACATCTTTTTGCTTTAACAGTTTTGCCCAGTTTGGTGTCTGTGTATGTGTTTTGGGGGTAGCAATCTCCTCTGTAGCTGTTGCTCCAGCTGAGTTGGCAGCTCTCATGCACCATGGGATCATCCTGGATAGATGCTGTTATTTATGCAGCGTGTCTAAACCTATCATCCTGACACAGATTTATGTAAACACTGCAGTTTCTTGGCATAGGATGAGGTTCACACACGCACAAGGAGGAAGCTAAAGATATTATTTAGTTTGGCTCTCCCTCTGTGGACGCAGTGCAGAAAATTAACATGCAGAATATGTTTGGGAAGCCTGAAAACGGGTTGTTAGCAAGTCAGAGGGAGAGGGACAGCAAGGTGAAACAGGGAAAAAGGAACAGTACTGTATGTGTAGCCAGGTGAGTGAGCTGCAGAGAGTATGTAATTTCAATATCTAAGTCTGATTCAAATTTTATTTGGAAGGCCAGTAGACATTCAGACCCAAAGCAGACAAGGAGACAGTCCATTTATATCAAACATTTTATTTCTTGATTTTTTTGTTTTGTTTTTATAAAATTCTTTTACAAAATTGTGATTTTTCCTCTATCTTTCCATTTTCAATCTCTATAAAATTAGGTGTGCAGTTACAGAAGAGAATGAAGGAAGCAGGCAGAGATTCATTTGAGACTCGTTTCGTGTGAGAATTATTTGTGCATTACATGTATTACTACACTTGTGACAACCAGGAAGGGGGGACTATTGGGCCCTCGCAAGTATAATAATACAAGGCAGTGCATGTGTCAGTATGAGTCTAACAAGACCTTGAAAAATGTTCCAATAACAGAAAAGGCAGGAATGTCAGTATCAGAGGTGTGGTGATAAGTCTCAGTAGCATTCCAGTGTTAAACAACATCATTTAGGGAGCCATTATGTGTTACTGGATACTGATAAAGAAAATAAAAAAACCTACTATGAAATGAAAACAGGGACCTGTTTGTTGCACAAGGCAGATGGGAAAAAACTCATAAGTGTATTTCTTCTGAAGGCACATCAATATATAACTCCCTGCCCTCTGAAATGACAAAAAAAAGGGAAAGGAAAAGAAAAAGATAAAGAAAATGTCATCTTAAATATTGCACCAAGTTCATTTCTGAAATGTGATTCTGTTCACAACCATATTCAGTTGTCTTGATCGCGCTGTGTTTAGTAATACTCGGATTGTTTATTTGCTGTCAAGCTGATAGCACATTCTCAGAAGTGAAAAACACCATGCAGCCGATTTCTCAGTCTCTCACACTTATACTCTTTCCTTACTTCTCCCCTCTCTTTCTCACACGTTTTCTTTCTTTCTTTCTTTCTTTCTTTCTTTCTTGGATAAACAGAAAATACTTTTACCAACCAAATAAATATGGGAATGCATGGCATCCCTCATATCACCACAATTGATCTATTGGCACATATTGTGGTCTGTGAAGGACTGTGAAGCTCACCTAAATGATTGTTTTATCTTCCAAAAAAAAAAAAAAAAAAAAATTAAAGAAGAAGCTGGAGCTCCCGAAGGAGGAGTCAGGACAGGTGTGATTAGATTTCTAGATTTCATACAGAAATGCTGCTGGCCAGGACAGATACACTTTAACTTGTCAATGCACAGTGATTTAAAAACACAGGTGCACATTCAAGGTTCATCAAATTACATTAACATTTCCAGATAATCTGATATGACACATCAAGACCAAAAAATTGAAGCTTGACTATTAATGGAACCAAACACGTAGAATTTGTTTAAGCCAATTAGCCTATTGATCCATCTGCAAAAACCCAATTTCATGGTCCACTGACACTTGGCAGCCAATGAACAGATTTGCAGCAAATGAGATATGTGTCTCAAATTCAGAAGACTAATATACAGAAAGCGATAAAGATGTAATTCATGACATATTGAATTATGGAACGTATTTCTAAACATCCTGGTTTTACGTTTTGCTTCTTGAATGTGGCCCAAGCACAATATCACACTGCCAATCTGAATCTCTCAGAGATGAAGAGCTGTTTAAATCTGTGATCAGAGATACAAATTGGCATTCTGCAAATATACAGGAAATTGAAAGGCTTCTAATTACATGTATTTATGTTAAAAAAAAATACCACAAATGAGAATAATTACTTAATAGAGCATATCTCCCCAAAGGTGCAAATTCTTTCCTATGCCTTTTAACAGCATCACAAATGCTTGGTGAGAATTCTTGTTGATCTGGCCATATCTGTTCATAACAATGAGAAAAATACAGCAATCTGCTTAGTATAAACTCTTACTCTGACACTATCAAACGCCATTTGATGGTCCTAGATGAGAACAGTGTAAGCCCATTTCATGTACTTGTCAGCCTGGGCTACTTGCCTGCCAAACTTGTCATTGGACAAAATGAAATTGGGTGTATGACAGAAACAATAACCATATATAAATATCCCTTGCTTAACAAGCCCAAAAAGATCCATTCCCTGGCTTTCACAGTGGTTTGTGTTTCAAACAGACCATTGGTTGGCTCAATTGGCAAACTCAGCCTCCCTTAACCAAGGCAACACATATGATCCTATATTGTTCTTCAGGCCAGCACATACTCAAGTACCAATTCTACCTGGCAATTGAGCCTTTACAAAAGAAAAAAAGAAACATGAAGACTTCTTGCTAAAATGAAAGAAGAGAATTCCATTGAATTTTGTGGATATCTATTCCCAAAAAAAAAAAAAAAAAAAAAAAAATCAAACTAGTTTAGCAAATCTGTTGTAGTTTTACCAGGAAAAAGAAGTCCAGAATGACACATGATGACACTTTAGTTTTTAGTTTTTTTCAATTGAATAAAAATACATGTTCATTACACTTCAGCAAAGAAAAAATGTGAATGCTGACCTGAAGAATTTACTACAAGATACATAATTTCATCAATTATTAAGAAAATCACAAACCATGAGAACAACAAAACAGAAAGCAGCAAGATTAAGGTGCTTGTTCTGCACCATGCCGTTCTCTCAGACTCCCACATCCCAACGCCGTTAGATAAACTTGAGGCACTGTGAATATCAGATCAACGATGGTTGAGGGGTTGTCATTCCTCTTTTCACCCACCCTGCTATTTGTTTTAATTAAGACATTACAGAGAGAGTAGTAGGCCATTCATTCACTGTATAAAAACAATAGCTAAACACAATCCAAAATAGTGTTATCCTCTTCATAGTCATAATTATCAATAATATTCTGTCAGCAAAAACGTTCAGGGACCTGTGCATAGTGTACAGAGCAGAACAGACAGTCTCTCTCAGTGGGATGGAGTTGGGAGTGGTTTGCCACTGTTGGGACACTGAAGCAGCAAGCTGTGATTTCCAACTCTGTGAATTTGACCACTTTAGTTCAGCGTTGAGCACTTTAAAGTGCTCAGGTGTCCTTCAGTTGTTGGTAGTCAATAGTGTAATCGTGGGGCCCGTGCACTCTGCTATCCCCTAATACACATTAGAGAAAGGGTACAGAGGAGAAATGGAGGAAGTACAAAGGACATAATGAAGGAGACCAATGGATGTGCTATTCTCCTCTTCTGTTCTAGTTTCTTTACCTCCTCCCCCGTCTCCCCAATCCCATTTGTTTCTCCATTGATCCGTCCATGCAGTCATGGAAAGGCTCTGCGTTTCTCTACATGTCCGCCCCCTCACTCTTTCTTTGTTGTGTCCAGAGAGCGGGGGGGCTCTGAAGGGTTATAGTCTCTCGATATCCCTGTACTTCTTCCGCAGTATGGACACCTGGTCTTTGAACAAGACTGGGTCCAGCCTCATCTGAGAATGGACCAGGGGCATGGTGCCAAACCAGCTGGCAAACTTGTTCATGCAGGTCTGACGCTGGGCAAAGTGGTCCGGGTCAGCCCAGCGAGACGCCCGGGAGCTCTGGGGGTGGGAGGTGGAGGTGGAGAGGTGGGTGGAGAGAGAGAGAGAGAGAGAGAGACAGAGAGAGCAAGAGAGAGAGAGAGAGAGTGAGAGACAGAGAGAGAGAGACAGAGAGAGAGTGAGAGTGGGGGGTTGGTAAAGAAGGATGTGGATTGAAGGGCAGCAGGATGAGAAGGCAGGAAAGAAAGAGTGAAGGCAGAGCGAGAAAGAGAGCGATGGGTGCATGAGGTACATTGAGAGAGGGGAAAAAAAAGACAACAAAATGAATAATGCATCAGCAATTATCCTGACCTTTCAGAGCCTATTGTAATTATTCATGAGTTTTTTTTTTATTGGAATGCCATATTGCAATAAACAAATAACTGATGGTCTGTTTTTCCTCCTAACAGCTAACAATGTTAGGGTTTAAGTGGTATGATGTGTCTAAAGGCCATCACCTCTAAAATAATCAGGAAAACACAGGTCTCTGTCTGTTAAACACTGAACATCGTTGTGAAAATTAAATCATTCAATGATGTGGGCTTTTACAGTTCAAAGGCATGTTGGCATGTTTAAAGGACAGCTACCAGAATTTGTGAAAGAGAGAGTATTATTATTGATATTACTTCTGAAATGAGTAGCAAGTAATATGTTGCTTCTTTAGGGAATAACAATGTCCCAGATCCCTAAATAATCGTATTCAAATAAATCTCAGTGTCTGTTCCACCTTTAGGCATAAAATAAAATGAATGTACTTTACATCATAATTATTCTGCCTCACCTGTCCCATCATGGTCTCCTTGTATTGTTTCTTCTGGGTGACCTTGATGGGTGGTAGTTTAGAGACTGACGACACCAGAAAATTCATCAGAATGTCCTCGCAGTTCGACATCTGGTCAACCATAGTCTTCAGACTGGCTGGAAGGTAAGTAGTGTACAAGTAGTGGTAGTATCTAAAGAGAGAAAGAATGTGAGGGGGAACTGTGTTAGTGTTGAACTGAATGAAAAAAAGAATTACAATGGAGAGGACTAAAGTACACCACGGAAGCAGAGAGGAATAAAAGAGAGAATAGAGCAGTACTTGTGATAGATGGCAGCCCCAGTCAGCACCATGGAGTAGTCGTTGGTCCATTTGGAAGTGTAGCCCCACCGCTCCTTGTTGCTGTCCCAGAAGTGGCTGCGGGCTGGGTAACCAACAATGCGGTCTGGAAAACTCTGCCAGACCGTGAAAGCAAAGTCCACCTGGACCAGGATCCGAGAGAAATGAATAGAGACAGAAGAAGGAGAGAAGACATGAGGCCAAAATAGTTATTAAGACGACCTTGTGCAACATGTAGTCTAGATGAAAAATAACTGTTTGCTGTAATTTTCTGGCAGTCTCACCTCTGTGGTGGAGAGCACGGTGTCCTCATCCAGACTGAGGACAGCATCAGTGGGGATGGTGTCGTAGGGCAGAAAACGACTGCTTATCACCTGGGTTGATGAGCAAAACACAGACACATAAGCAAAATGTGTGTACTGGTTACTAAAAGGGTATAAACACTTTTACCATGCAGCTCATCAACAACAATTCATGTAAAACCAGGGCTCATATGAGCACAAGCGAGGAACATCTGCCTGACAAGCAGCGATACCAGTTTCTTCATGTGAGTTTGTGCTGCACAGTTGTTTCATCTAGCTGTGTTAACAGCAGAGTCAGCTAAATGTATATATATATATATATATATATTTCAGCATGACAGCAAAATGCAGTATTTCACTGATGAGCTAAACCCACAGATAGAAATCTAAAAGCAGTGGAGCGTGTTACACTCCCTGATGAGCAATGCAGCCTCAGATTTTGGCATCTATCTATCTATGCAAATAACTCTGTGTAACAAGTGCATAGGTGGTTTCCAATTTCAGAAATAAGTGCACACTGATCTAAACAAATAGTGTGTGTGGTTGCATCCCTGACAGAAGCGACCTTGGTAGCCACACCGGCATTTACCTACAAGACCTGGGCTAAATCAAATAAACACTAACAACAGTAACACAAACACTTGATGAAAAAGGATGTAAAGTTTGATGTAACCAAGTCAGCGTTGCAATCCCTGCCAAGCTCCTATATTTAATAATTCTTTCAGAAACGCTCATACATATCAGAGCAGCGCGCCTTCATTTGTCCACCGTTAATATGTCTGACACCTCATTCACTAAATTCAATAGTCAGTAAATATACTGTAGGTTTAGCTTATGGGCACATTTTTGGATAAAGAGAGACGCACTTCTCATCCTCCTCATGGCCATGTCATGCTCATTATAATGAGTTATCCAATTATTGCAGGCAGTTTGTGAATTATACCAGGTTTTCCACACGCACATTACTTCCAAAATTACACCAGGAAAAATCAAATGTCCTAAATAGTAAATTAAAAAGCTGTAGTGGCTGAACTCCTTTAGTATGAAACTGGACTGAAGCTGGGACATGGCAGAATTTGATGCCTGTGGCTTTTGCACTGAGTCCAAAACTCAGTATCAGTTATTGCCAATTTGGAAAGAAAAGAAAAATACTCATTGCTCAAGCCACTTAAAGACAGGCAGATACAGCTGGATACATTTAAAAACTTTGGGTTGCCTGCTGTTTTATATTTTATGTCTCAAACTCAATTCATCCACAGCCTTCCAGCACTGAATGTGAAATGGCTGCAGTAACACTGCCAACTGAGCGAAGTATCAGGTGAAGGTGTTTACCTTGCTTTCCCCTTCTATAACAATGACAGGGACTGAGGTGGCAGGCCAGCGGTGCTTGGCAGGAAGAGGCTTGTCACAATTCCACAGGACTATCACCTGCACAAAAGGAAAACAGGCAAAGCTCAGTAATCACTCTGAGTACATGTCCAGTCACGTGCATACCTATGCATGTGCAATGTAATTTTAATTACAGTTTCATGTTTCACAGGCCTGTCTGGCTTAGCAATAAATGTACAGATCAAAAACCCACAGTAAGAGCTTGTTTCAATTCAAACCCTATTTTTTATTTTCTCCTTATTTATGAAGACAACTACTTCCTCATGCTACTGCTAGATCTATTTTCAGAGCTGTCACACCACCTGCAGTTAACATGACAGCGACACGCCGTATAACTCTAAATGCTACAACAAAATGTGCTGACATCTTCATGATAGATGTACAGTCCTAAATCCAGCAAAACACAATTCCCATTTTTGTGATTTTTTTTTGTGAATATGCCAAAATAATGGGTAAAATAAAATCCAATTGAAAAACACAGGGTTTACTCTACACATTTAAACCCTTGCTCCACAGTATAACATAGAGACCTTGTGGTTAAAAGGCTCACTACCACAAACCCACCCCAGTCACCATTAATATTTTGAACAGCTTTACAGATATGAACTCCCTCAGAAATTACAGTTATTATGTGTAATTTTGATGTTTGACAGTTGCACATTAAATGGTCCTGCAGGTAACGGTTTCCTATATTTCCTACAGTGTGCATTGGTATAATATAGTATTAACGTATCTACAGAGAGAGTGTCAGCGTGGATCTGTTGTGGCATAGAGGTTTGAAAATCATTAGAACAGCCTCCTTTCATCTCCAGCATGAATAAAATACTGAAGTTCAAAAGCAGTTAAATGACACTGGCACGGAGACAAACAGACCTTTTATCTCCTGAAAGGAGCTTTGCTTACTTTTTTTTACCCTTTAATATATTGAAACATTCTGTCATAAACATATTACTGATTGGATAAAGTATATACATAATTAAGTTCCATGTAACATTTACACACATCACCACTATGGATCAGGTGTGAGGTGAGTAAGGTACTGTTGTGTGTCGTGTTTTTAATTACCTGAGCACAATACTGGGATTTGGCCACAGCCACAAGCAGCTTCATGACTGGCTGAGACTGGGAGACCAGTGGGGTCACCACATGAATGATTGCTGTAAACTTGGAGTATGGCTTGATACCTGGATACAGTAGGGACAAATCAAAACGTAAGAAAACAGGCAATTTAAATCTGTCAAGTAAGATTTCAAGCAGAATGACCTTCTGAATCAAGTTCACTCACACAGTATCATATATCACTTGTACATGGCCCTTCATATAATGATGAAAATGATGCAGTCAGCTACAGTTCTATGTTTTACAAGTAAGAATTACAAGTAACATCTCTTTGACAGCTTTCAGCATCTCTTTGTTGCTGCTTGTTTACTTCGAGCTGTGTTTACTTGACATATAGTGAAGCTGAACAAGTTTAATTAGGCTTGTTAAGAAAAAGGTGCCAGTTAACCAAATCCCAAAGTCAACAACAAGCCGCATATCTATCCAATTAACCAACAACATGGCAACATGGCAGGTCTAATTGGTGAGCTTCTCTGAGACAAATCATGAATTAATAAAGATATATTGCGTAACTTGTTGCAGTGTCACAGATTCACATGTTAGTTTAAAAGTATTCAGCAGATGCTACGCACCAGCTGTTCCTGTGCCGTCTCTTAATGAAAATGAGTCTATCAAACCTGAGGTGTGTCATTAATGAGGTTGTTCTCATACTGTATACCGTGTGCATGAATAATTAACTGACCCAGCTTAGCGTAATAGAAAGGGAAGTCTCCCAGGTATGTAGAGTACTGAGGCAGGGTGAAAAGACCTCCGGGCAGACTGTTCCACATGAGGTTACTCCTTGAGGTGTGCTGCAGTACTCGGTCCTGGATGATCTGCACAGACATGGAAGTTTTCTGTAAATTTGTCAATTGATGAATCAAATGCTCACAACACTGCGTGACTCACAGAATAACGGATCACAAGCCAAAGACACTTTTACAAAACGCAGCACCTGAACAACTACTGTGGACTGTCTGTAAGATGACAGCAGGAAATCAGCTTTGCTCCAAGCTCTGGGGAGATATGTTTCCATTCCCTTAAGATTAAACAAATGTTATGCCAGTCTTACATGCTATTTGGAAACTGAGTGCAGACATAGATCCTTTGGCACTTCTCAAATTAACAACTGAGACAATGAGTCACTTCATATAAACAAGGACCCTACAGACTACAAATGAGTGGTTCATTGAGCCGTTATATCTTCGCATAAACAACAAATTCATATCCTATAATTCAATTTTCTTTTTATGTTTTCTTCATTTTTGGTTGTGGTGTGTCATTTTCTTCATCCTCCCATCCTTTTCAATGAATTCATATCACATTTCTATCACTGACCTAACAAACTGATTTTGTCAACCTTAAGAATTCACATCCTCATTAGAATAACCAACAGTTAAAATACACACTGCTAAAAATATCAGGTAGCAGGTGTGTACTGTGTGTTATTTATATATCCTTGAGTCTCTTCATGCAAGGCAAAATAACACACAAACTATGACATGAACAGAAGCTGCTTTGCAAGTTTTATGAGCTGAAAACAAGACTCATTACAAACTTTGGGAACAATAATGCAAAATAATTAACGCTGGTTTTATTGACTCCTGGATATAATACAGCCACACAAAAGAAAAACTAATCTAAAATCACCTATATTGCCAATTACAGACTAACATTTTATTACTCTGGCCTTGCTTAGGAGGCATGCATGGCTTCATAAACTCAAACTTGGTTGAGCATTGGGGGAAACCATTATACTCAATATAATGGGTAATCAAAAAAGTAGTCAAAATATAATTTAACAGTAACATCATATCACTTTTTTTCCTGAAGTTTTTAGAAGCCAGAAACACTGATCTCTTCTCAGTGTTGTACTACGGTAGGTCTTGGAACAAACAGGGTTAAGATACTGAGACTGTAAACAGATCGAAGATCAGTTACTTGAGGCTGTAACTTCACCCTGTTGACAGAGAAATCCCCAGCTCTGCTTTCTAGCGCCCTGACTTCCTATCCCCGGTGACGAGGCCTCTGTAACACTATCTGAAGGCAGGAACTAACTAACTGTAAACTGCAGTCAGCAATACGGCTTACAGTACATGTAACATAACTGAAAATCAGCAGTAATTTTCTTGTTTGTTACATTAAACAGAATTTTAGTTGAACTAACAAAATAAACATCAGCTATAAGTAGAAGACTGATGCATTTATTTTCTTTGCATGCCATTCTGGTCATAATTTAGAGATCCACTACTGTTGCACAAATCAAGGTAAAACAGTGGGAGAGGCTGGTGAGATGGACAAATGCTAATCTGTGTTGTGAGCACGACTGCAGCGCAGAATTCTGCCTTACTTACAACTAGCCTAACACACTCCTGTCAGTTTCTCTGTCGTGCTGCCTTATCCTTTTTCATTCCTCCCTGCTCTCATCTCTGCTTGTTTGTAATTCTAGCCCAAGAGCAGTATGATAGCCTGGTACTCAGCAGGAAGAATACAGATAAATGGACTCTGACAGGAACAAATTACTGACATGATTGATAGCCAAGCCACAGCAAGAAACAGCCTCAAAAACATGACAGCACTGGTTAACAATATATATCATCCCTCTTGGTTTTCTAGTCTAGTCTGGAGCAGTTTCTTTGTGGGTATTATGTCCTCAACTACACAGTTTGCACTTGTAAGGTGTCAGTACAAAGTAAATACCTGGGATGATAGTTGAGTGACTTCAAAAATGACATGAAAAAAAAATATGAAAGAATGGATTTATGGCATGTTTATATTTTTATGCTTGTTATGCAATTGTGTGAAAGCACGCATGGTTGTCTCCATAAATTAATATGTATGCTAACAATTGTACTGTATGTATGAACATGTGTGTACCTCCAGTGTGGTCAGTACTATTTTCTCCACAGAGTTGAAGTAAGCCTCCCATAGGAACTGGGTCTGCTGTCTCAGGGAGAGGATCTTATCCTGGTGGATGGAGTGTACTGTTGAGGGGATCTGGGACAGAGGTGAACACATGTTAACATACTAGAGCAAACACAGAAACTGGCAGTCTGTACTGGATACAGTCATTTAATCCACAAAGTACACTGCCTGTAGAACAACTGTAAGATCTGCCTCAATAAATGCTGATACGGATTTACAGCAGCTTTAGAAGACAGTGGTCCAAATTTCAGGAGCAGCCATCAGGATTTAACTATGTAGGGAAGGCACACATAAAATGCGCCCTTCAATACAATGGCATGCAGCAAAACAGACAGGAATCAGAAGCAAAGAATACACACTGCTGCTGCATTACCAACCCTTTACAAGATAAGACAAGATGAAAACATTCTGTGGTCAAAAAAGCTGTTATGCTTAAAAGAAGTAAACTGGTAATGTGACAGTTGTGTGCAGATAAGATTACTTTGTTTCAGCAGCGTTGACAAAACTGTTGAGTAAATCAACTTTAGGTATGTATTAAGTTTCTACAGTAGTGGAAGCTGTGCCTACCTGTAATAGCAGCCTTTCGTCCCCAATCACAGCTGCCGTATTCCAGTCGATGATCTCCGAGAAGGGAAGCTCCCAGCCATTACTTAGCATCACGGGCACACAAGCTGCCTGTAGGAGTAACACACAACACCACACACAAAATGCACTGATGGTTAATGAGATGAACAGTTGAAGAAAAGTTGCTCTGTGGAAACTGTCATTCTCATGACACCCATAGAAATAATGCAAACACACAACTACAACAAATAATGTATGAATTAATCAATAAATATATTAAATTTGTAGTTTGAAGAAGTTGAATAGGAGCCTTGTGTTTGTCAGTGTCATGTCCTGGGTAACATTGGTCTGAAAATATTTGTACTCAAAGGGAACAACCACGTAGCACCTGGTGGTACAATTGCTATTTCTACAGGCTGTACAATAAAGATAAACTGAGCAGAAAAGAGAAAAGGAAAATAACAACAAATGGCTGATGCTCTGCAAACCAATGCCATCAAGGTCCATTTCCCAAGATATCACATCTGGCAATTTAACCAAACAGGGCAATGCATCTTCCAGCACATTTTTATTAACTACAGAACTACTGCAATACCTTGATGAGTACTCTCAAAGTGACTAGGCAATGTGGTTTCATAAAAATGATCATTATGTTCAGTGGAAAAGAAGATACACTTTAAAACATACTTGAAAATGAAATGCCTGTGTCTGATAGATTAATGAAATTGCACTGAAGTGTGTGTCCATATTTGTGTGTGTGCATGTCCTTGTGAATCTATTCAACCATTTGTGTGTGTGTGCAAATGCAGGGGCATTGTGGTGCTGTAACTTTAAGTCTGTGTGTGTGTGTGTGTTGGATGGTACATGTAGCTTACTGCCTGCAGTGACTGGCCCTGTAGTCTTTTAAGCGGGGTACCATTCACTGATTGGCCTTGGTCGCGACACAAACAAACGCTCCTGCATCACAGTGCTGCAGTGCTCATCTAATCTCCTTGGGGTCATTAGCAAGGGCAGCAATCTGCTGAATGTATCCCTATCTATCTGCTCTCACAGACCAGCGAGATCGGCTAGAGACTCCTGTAGCTCAACCCTAACTACACTACACAACTACACTACACACACACACACACTACCACACACACACACACACACACACGTAGAACAGTCACTAATAAAAGTCACTGCTTTGAACTCTCTACATTTTGCAAACACATGTGCAACAGAGAATCTCAGTGTGACTTGTGCTTGTCACATGACACCTGCAGGTATTGCTTCTTTAAGCATCTGCCAAATTAGTGAAACCCTCCTCAGAAACCCAGCTCCTGGTTAAATCATGTGAACATCTCCACTCTGGACTACCACACTGTGCCCTACCTGGCCTGTTGGAATACTCCACTGAGCCTGTGCAACTAATACAGCACTCTGGCCTGCCTGGCCTTCAGCCTCCCCAAATTCCCCAATTTCTGTCTGCTCTTGTTGATTCCTGCGCTCCCGTGTAAGGCTGTGCTTGGACAGAGACGCTAATACCTGAAGGCCATAGTCTAGCCGTACACTCCAGCCAACCTCTGCTTGCTACCTCAACTGCAGCTGCACTGCTTTCCCCTCCCGTGTCGTCCTTGTCATCAGTCCACTGTCACTTTGCCTCACTCCTTGCTCCCCTGTGGGGTAATTATCTTCCCATTCCAGTCAATACAGAGTCACAGCACATCTTCTATTATGAACTCAAAAGTCATCACTCTTATACCTCTTGTTAAAAAATATCTTTCTTCCCAAACAATTTCTCTGCGGTTTTTCCCTGGACTGGTGCTTACCGTATTTGACACACAAATAACTCACACAGAGGAAACTAACACCATGCCATAAATACTGACTTTTCCAGTTAGTAATTTGCTTTCTTTTTATTCACTCAATGTACTGTAAGTCACTAGAGGAGAAAAAAAGAGAAATATAAATGTAATTGTACATAGACAGAACTCCAAATCATTCTCTCTATGTATTCACTAACATACATGTACAGTATATTTTTCATACTGCTACTCAAAGTGTGTAAAGGCAAAAAGGCATTTGAAATGTCTTAAGTGAAACTGTGAGCCTGTTTGTTAAAATAAATATAGGTATTCTTTAAATATATCTATAGTCTGGACCTAGAGCACTGTCACAACAGACGCCTCAACATCTCTGTACACCTTAAGTAGGCAGATTGTGTGAATGAGACCATAAATTAGACAGGCTCAGCACTGTTAGGAATAAGGGACACTTGATAAAGACTCAATAAAAATGAAGAGCAAGTATAATTTTTGATACAGGACAGGGGATTTGTGTAGCCAAACAGATACAGATGACAAATTAAAGGAAAAACCAACATAGTGTCATAGTAAGGTGTTGTTCCACCTTGAGCCTCCAAAACAGCTTCACTGCTTCCTGGTCATTGATTCTCCAGGTCTCTGAACTATACTGCAGTTCTACTACAAGATATTCCACCAAACATATTCCTTCATTAGGCTTCGAGGCAACTGTATTGAAAGTGTTCACTTAGGACATGCAGAAATACCACTAAACACATAGTCTCCACAAGCTTCTCCATAGCTTAGCTGTGAAAATACCGGAGACAACAAGAAAGGCCCCGTCTCAACACAGAGCTAACATATCACTGATTTTCATACTTCTTAAGCCATTCAGTGAGTTATTGTTCCCTGTATGAAGGCATTGGCATTTGTTATGCTAGCACTCATTTTTATGCTAGCAATTTTCCCTTTAAATTCTCAACCATCTGTACATTTTTAGGTTGATGCTTGTGGCCACAAAAAATAATGAAGCTATAATTCAATCAAAATGATCAGTTCTAGAAACACAAGTGGAACTATAATCAAAGGAGAGTAAAGGTAGAGTGAAGAATATAGAGAGAAGAGGAGATGAATTGAAAAGCAAGCAAGAAAGAAAAGATGGCAAGGACAGTAGTGTAGACACTGGGTCAGAGGCTGCTGAAGTAACGCAAGCTGCACAATAACAAAATGACTGGCAGTGGATGAGAGAGCTAGTGGGAGTAACTCAGTGCATCACTTTTCCATTCCAAACCACCGATTAATGGCTTTATTGTTCAGTTTCTTCTGGAGGAATCAAACTCATAATGTTGCAGATACACTGTAAGAATGTTCTGAAATACTGTAGCACTGCACCTACTATAACCGATTCAGATTTAATATCAGCTCTGTCTAGCAGTAATGAGCAACATCTGTATTTGCGTCACTGACCTGCAAAGCCTCTAAGAAGCGAAAGGAACCCAGCCGTCGTCCTCGAGGTACCAGACAAAATGTGGAGTTGTACAGCATCTCTCTGTAGTCATATCTGCAGAATGATAAAAGGAGATAAAACATCAGGAATTTAACACATAAAACAGCACAATGTGTAGTACTCATACAGTAGATGCAGGATACTACGAAATCACAAAGAATGTGAGCAGTCGTGCACCAGAGCGACACTGACATACCATCAGTGCATTGGTTTATATGGTTTTACATCACAAAGCCTACTTCTAAAATGACATCTAATAAAATCTTGACTCTGGGAATGCAGCCAATATCAGGACCAAGCTTCCTCAAACAGTCTCAGTGCAGCAGCAGATGCCAGAACAGAAAAGTCACCTCTTCTTAAGAATGGAGTACCTGGAAGTCACAAGTACTTTCAGGAAAAATCTCATACTTTCATCTCTACTCTTCTCTCTTACCCTCTCCCATGCATCTTTAAACCCCTTGCCCTCTCACCTGCACATCTCAACATCTCTCGTTTCTTTCTCGCTCCCTCCATCCAATCTAAGCCTCAGTCAGCACTTGCTTGGATTAAGGAGCTGCTTGGAATTCCTTCAGTGTCAATATTATATGCGTGCAGGAGAGAGTGTGTCAGAGAGTGTGCATTTGTGTGTTGCCTGGTCGTGCATTAGACTGAGTTTTATGAGATATGACTGAAAATGTGCATATTTTATGTCTCAGTATATAGATAAAACAAAAAAAACAACATTCATGCACATTTGTATTTAAAACAATTTGTGGTCACATCTGCATGAGAATGCAAATATGGGTGAAAAGGTGAGTGATAATTTGTGTACGCATAACGTGTGTGCCAGGGGCTCTTTTCCCACACTCTCCTTTATTTTATGTGTGTGTGTATATAGATTTATTATGCCTGAGGCTGCACTCCTGTCTCGCTTTAAGTGTACTGTCAGTGTTACAGTAAATTTCTCTACCACTGCAGACCTGACGGAACCACTTCAACTCCACAGGTCACTGCACAGACAAGACACATGTCAGTTTTATGTTGTGTGCATGGAGTTATGGGAGTGCACCAGAGTAGGGATGCATTCAAGAGAAATTTACACAAAGCAACAACCAAGTTCAATTGGACACAGTAGGTACTGTTGATTCCTGACATTTCTGAGCCATCTTACAAATTTAACGGTTGAAAAGCATGCATGAACTACAGAGCTGCCATCTTTACCACGTTCCATGTTCCACATTGCTGGGTTTGTTTTTGCGCATGAAAGCTTGCCAAATGTCAAGCAAATGATTTCTGAACACATGTGCTAACAAGTGCTTCCATCTATAACTCCTTTCATTCAGCAAAGACACAGAGTGCCAAGCCAGCTGGATGTCAAGTTCTCAAAAGCTTTTACATTATAGCAGGAATGCATGATTACACTGAGGTAAATAACAATGACACTTTAAAACACCACTTTGTGGTGGCTGGAACCAAGAGACTAACCATGCAAAAATATTAAATGCATGCATGCAAATTTCACTTCACTTGTGTTTTGGCAAGGTTCACTGGCATTTAGTGGGTTGGAACGGTAAGCAATGTATGTACAACCAAGTACCTTTAAGTAGATGGATCTAGTTTAACCCCTCAGAACTCTGTCTTACTGTCACCATCTAAATTAGTTTGCAGATTAGTCCAGTTGATAGGCTTAATCAGTTTTCAGTGGACATTTGCCTGACTTACTTTTTGAGGGATAACTCAGTTCACAAGGTTCGGGCTCACAAAGGTTTCTTCTGGTGGAGGTCATGGACTACTGGTGTACAAGCACACACTACTTTTTAATTATATTCTTATTCTGTGTGTGGCCTAAAGAGCATTGTTAGGCATCATCCACTGCAGTAGCCATCACACACAAATCACCAAACACTAAGTCTTGGTCTTATTGAAGTGTAACAGTAAGCACTTACAGTACCATCATATGGGAGTGCAATGCAAAATATCAACAACAATGTTTAACTGTGTTTAACTGTGGTGATTATGTAATATCTATCTGGATAATCCTACTATACAGTACAAATACCATTTACAATTAACAGCCCCTACAGTGACTCTAGAGAAGATTAACATCCACAAAAAGCATAAAAGCTACAATTAAGCTTGATGCCGTCTATAGTAATACACTATAATGTACACAGAAATCCATTATCAAAGGAGCACATAGTAGTTAATAATACTAAAGGCTGTTCTCATCTATGCATACATTATGAAACCGTGACTTGATTAAGTAGTCTGATTCCATTGCAGATATGGTAAGATTGTCATTAAGCATGACAAACAAATAGTCTAGCCAGTCACGTAATAGCTGACCGTTTCACAGGCTTATAAAAACAAAAGTATAGGTCCATATCTGGGCCGGGCAGGGTGTAAATCTCCCATCCATTACATTTCCTGTCAGTGCAAACTCAGAAAAGACCAGATGTTCCTCTCCCTGCATACCTCCATTCTTCCCTACTCTTCCAGATGGCTGACTGTGGGGAGGAGCAGTTTCACAGTATGCTACCGCATGTCAGTGGAGATGTTAAGGATGAGTGTTAAAAAAAAAAAAAAACATCTTCTTCATAAACTAGCTACTGTCCTGATGTGCATTTTCTCTTTTATTAGTCACACATTTTGAAGTGTGATGCATGTAGGTGTTCAAAAGATTGGTCTTGTTGCAGAAAAACAGGATAGATGTCAGTGAGCAGTTAGTCATACCCTGTATCTTGCACAAATGTCAGCAATTAACTCTACATGATACGAGGTAAATCCTGCCTTGTCCCATATTTTCAATGCTCCGACATGCAGATGGCTGCTGGTGAGCAAAGCCGTCTCACAGTAACAGATTGGGCATCACTGAAAAAAAAAAGAAAAAAAAGGAAAAAAAAAAAAAAATCACATAGTTGAAATAATGAGCTTGAGTTGGTCTTTCAGTCATGTCCCTCTTATGATATAATGTGAAATATCAGAATAAGTGCTGTAATAAAACTTAAAATTGCTATTAGGGCTTTTATTCAAATGGCAGGAATAATATCGAGATAAACTACTGTCTAACACTAACCTTTAAAAATCCCTTACATACTTTACTGTTGCACCATCATTCATTTTAAAACTAGGGGACTATATGCACAGTGTCATAAAACCAGTGCATTACACTAATTTGAAATTGATAGCACAGGTGTATCAAAATCTGTTGTGATATGTATCAATTTGATAAATGGTGATCATGTAAATAGTCAAACCAAACTGCAAACCAGTGTGTCCTACTGTAAAGCTTCAGCCTGAGAATGTGGTGGACACGGACACATTCAATGAGGATTTGTCCTCGACCAACTGTTCAATCAGAGTGACCACTCTGTTGACATTTCCTGACCATTCTGTTGCTCTTTGGTAAGAAACCATCTTATAGAAATAACAGCTCTTTCATATTACCACTCTGAGTGTGAGCATGAGAGAGAGAGACACACACATTGAGACAAGTAAAAAAGGAACTTGAAATTGTGCTGTTTGTTTTCATACACTGTGTTGACTGGAAGTAGTGTGTATAATGTAAAAGAAAGGTCAGTTCCAAAAAAAATTATCCCAAAGATTCTGCAAGGAATTATTATTGCTCTGCAAGATACACAGACTCATTCTGAATATGTCCAGAATAAGCAACAGAGACTTGAACAATGAGCTCTTTCTATTCTCCCTCTGTAAGTAAAGAGTGTAGAGTTTAGATTGACATGGAGTCAGTAGAAGTCAGTTGGCACGTCCATTTTAGTTATATCCAAGTAACCTCTATTTTCTGGCACTGTAAAATAATGGCTTTGTGTGCTTTGAGAGATGGCCGAGATGAAAACATGGATGCTGTGACTTCTTGTTTGCTATAAATTGCAACATAGTTTCAACAAACATGGGGAATGTAGATAGTGACCAAATTCACCAAATCTAGATGCAAACAGTTCCCTCCATCAACAGCAGGAAGAGATGAGTGAATAAAATCTTAAGTGTACTAATGCAGCATCACCACTTCAACACCATAACTCAGATCAATAATTTAACAGTCTATTCCTGGAACATGCTTCAAGTTTACTCCTTTTGGAAAAGGAGCTTGGACCCGGCAGTGAAATGGCAAATCATCACCTTTACTTTAATGCTTTGGGAGATCCACTTTTATGCCATCTTTATATACACCAATTCATTCATGAATACAATCAAATCTTATTTATTAATATTGCAGAAATGAAACAGTTTGATTCACAGAAAGAGAAAAGAATAACAGGAGGTGAGCTGGGTCAAGAAAAAACATCAACCAGTCTCCTAGCAACGGGAATGGATGGAGTGAAAAAGAAATGCATGGCTCATTCTGTCAAGTGCCTGAGGAGCTTCAGAAGAACAGCCAAAGTGTTAGTCTCCCATAATCCACAGAGACCACACACATTTCTAACATAACAACTCACAAAGAGGACCACAATCAGATGCAATGCTTCAGCTGATCTATGACAAGTGGAAGTGCTCATGAGGGTTCCCCCAAACTGTCCTCTGTCCTGGGACAGAAGGTTTGTTCATCCACTACACACCATGTCATGGAACTAGATAATTTGGTTTGTATCCCTTAGCAAATGATACAGGTCTAGTTAGTGCAACAGGATACAAGGTGTGGGTATTTTTACTGCTGGCTCACAGAACGATTGCTCCATTCACAGGGAACAACATGATTTCCATGGCCATGATATTGTAATCCTTATCCTTTCATCTGCATTTTGTTCTATTTTGCAACACTTGGAACATCTTGTCCTGATCCCTGATATGCCAAATAAATTATTATCATTTTGTAAATTTTAGAGGTAACAAACCAAAGAAGGGGAATTCTAACTAATACTATTACAATGACAAGCTCAAAACGTAACTACGCTAAGTCATGATCAAATAATCAAAACTAGAGATGAAACAATCCAATTTCAAGTCGATTAATTTAGGAGGCTATCATCAGAGAATTAAACAGCAATTCCTTTGATAATTTAACATTTTCTAATTTCTCTTTTTTTGTCAAAACCTCCACACATTCTTTAGTTCAA